CAGCAACGTCAGCGGACGGGGTGGGTGGAGGTTGGATTTCCCTGGGGAAAAGGAGACGGGGAGCTGCCAGCTTGGGGGTGGGGTCTCCTGAAGGCCCCTCCCCTTCGGTCTCACCTGTCGCCTCCCAATAACAAGGGAGGTAGCCCATCCGTGGGGAGAGACGGAAAAAAACGCACAATTACAGCTGCACAATCGAGGAGCAACTGGGCTACCCATGATGATGATGATGATAATAATAAAAGTTGGAAGGGACCTTGGAGGTCATCTAGTCCAACCCCCTGCTCAGGCAGGAAACCCTAGACCATTTCGGACAAAGGGCTGTCCAGTCTCTTCTTAAAAACTTCCAGTGTTGGAGCATTCACCGCTTCTGGAGGCAAGTAGTTCCACTAGTTAATTGTTCTCACTGTCAGGAAGTTTGTCCTTAGTTCTAGGTTGTTTCTCTCCTTGATGAGTTTCCACCCGTTGCTTCTTCTCCTGCCTTCAGGCGCTTTGGAGAATAGCTTGACCTGAACCTGGCTAGTTTAGGCTTTGCTATTCTTGCTTGCTGTTCTGGTTCATGCAGGATTCTCGAGTTATGACCACAACTTTGTAAGTCAGTGGTTCTCAACCTGTGGGTCGGGACCCTATTTGGGGTCAAACGACCATTTCACGGGGGTCGCCAAACCACGCTGTCCACCATTTTTTTCCCTTTTCCCTAGCTGTCCTACTCCCTCTTATTGGTGGCCACACCCACTTGGGGGTCACCACAACAAGGGGAACTGTATTATGGAGTCACGGCATTAGAAAGGTTGAGAACCACTGCTGTAAGTGGAACATTTGTTAAGTGGGTTTGGTTCCGCTTGACGATCTTCCCTGCCGCAGCGGTTAAAGCAAACCGCTGTGGTTGTTCATTTAGTCACAGTTAACTTAGTTCGTTTAGCGACGTTCTTTTAAGTGAATCCGGCTTGCCCCACGGACTTTGGCTTGTCGGAAGGTCACAAAAGGGAATTCCCGGGGCCTCGAGACACTGCGACCATCGTAAAGGTAAACGAAATTGTCAAGTATCTTGGCAAGTTTTGATCACGGGGCCGCGGGGATGCAGCAACGGTCCTATGTATGAAAACCGGTCGTAAGTCGCTTTTTGAGTGCCGCTATAACTTTGAACGGTCACTAACAAACTGTTGTAAGTCGGGGACTGGCCTTATTGTGTGAAAGGAACCACTGTGTGTCTTGCAGGTGATCTTTTTGCCCTCGGCACTCACGTTTTTATGGGCAGTGTGCTAGTGTGGATATTGTCCTACCTTACAAGGAATAGAATAGAATAGAATAGAATAGAATAGAATAGAATAGAATAGAATAGAATAGAATAGAATAGAATATAGACTAGAAAAAATATTGGAATATAGACTAGAATAGAATAAAATAGAATAGAAAATAGAATAAAATAGAAAATAGAATAGAATAGATATTAGAATATAGAATAGAATAGAATATAGGATAGGATATAAAATAGAATATAGAATAGATATTGGAATATAGAATAGAAGAGAGTAGAGAATAGAATATAGAATAGATATTGGAAAATAGAAGAGAAGAGAAAGGAATAGAATAGAATAGAATAGAATAGAATAGAATAGAATAGAATAGAATAGAATAGAATAGAATAGAATAGAATAGAATAGAATAGAATAGAATAGAAGCTGGAAGAGACCTTGGAGATCTTCTAGTCCAGCTCTCTGCTCTAGCAGGATGTTGGGATCATACTGAGGCCTGGCCAGCTAGTGCTTGAACGGTCACTAAATGAACTGTTGTAAGCCGAGGACTACCTGTATGGAGCTAGCTAAGCTCGTTTATGTCCTGCCTTTATATTGTTTGTGCAAAGAACTCAAGGAGGCAAACACACGCCTACCTCCTCCTATCTTCCCTAGAACCACCACCCTGTGAGGTGGGTGGTGCTGAGAGAAAGGGAGGGGTCGGGGAACTGGCCCCAAGTCATCCATTTTTCACACTTATGACCATTTCTCACTTACGACCGTTGCAGCATTCCCCGCGGTCAAGTGATCAAAATTCAGACACTGGTCAACTGACTCGTATTTACGACGGTCGCAGTGTCCGTCCTGGGGATCATGGGATCCCCTTTTGCGACCTCCTGACCAGCAAAGTCAATGGGGAAGCCAGGTTCACTGAACAACCTTGTTACTAACTGGAGCAATTCACTTAACAACGGTGGCAGGAAAGGTCGTAAAACGGGACAAAACTCATGTTAACCCTTGTCTCACTTCGCGAGAGAAACGCTGGGGTTCCATTGTGGCTGTAAGCCAAGGACTAGCTGTAATCGTCTGACAGAATACCGTACGGCAGAATTTAAGAGTCGCAGGGCACCTTAGAGATCAACTAGTCTAACCCGCCCCAAATAATGCAGGAATTGCAGTCTGCAACCCCTTGGTTCATCACTCTGCTGTGAAAGGCCTCCATTGGCCAGGAGGGAAGTTGCAACCCCTGTACAACACTGGAAGGTCCCATGTGGACCCCTGGTCCTCTGGCTCGTCCATGTCTATGCAGCTAGTCCTCAATTTACGACCACAAGTTGGAAACAGAATGTCCACTGATAATAAGCAAGGCAGGTGTTCAATGAGTTGTCCCCAATTTTACGACATTTTTTTTTGCCCTGGCTGCTAAGTGAACCTGCAGTTGTTAAGTGAATCACACGGTCGTTAAGCGAACCCAGCTTTCCCCCCCCCCACCCATTGACTTTTGCTTGTCGGACTCCAACTGGATCGGTCACAAATGGTGATTACTCGGCCCTGGGAAAGTGCAACTGTCGTTAACTACATTCCAGTTGACCGAGGTGCCTGCAGTTTGATCACGCGACTATTAAGGATGCTACGATGGTCGTAAGTGCGAGGACGGCCTCAGTTGCACTGTGCTGGGGTCACACAGGATCGCTACTCCCAAGCTTCCCAGCCAGTTTCCCACAAGCCAACTCCATTTGCAAGCCATTAAGACGAGGCCTGCCTATATACACAACAGTTAGAGAAGCCCGACTTCTGCCTGAGAAGGGGGTTGGACTAGAAGACCTCCAGGGTCCCTGGTGATGTTGTGCCACCAGAAGCAAGCAAGAAGTCTCTTTGAAATTCAGCGGTGCCTCCAGCCGCCAATAAATCCTTGTTTTGTTGGCTTTTAATGTTTCAATGAACTGCAAACGAAGCTGGGGAGGCCGTTTCGATTAATTGCTGCATTGATTGTGCATTACGTTTAATGGGTAAACGGCCTTGAACCGGATCTGGTTTCAGGCAGAAGTAGACAAATCTCATTAATAAATAACGGCGGCGTCACATTCCAAGCGGGGATCCAGTCGCCCAAATGCGGCTGGGATCGATCGATCGATCACAATAGAACTGGAAGGGACCCTGGGGGTCTTCTAGTCCAGCCCCCTGCTCAAGCAGGAGATCCTGGCCTACAAGTGGCTGTCCAGTCCTTCAAAGCTTCCAGTGATGAAGCACCCACAACTTCTGGTGGCAAGTAGTTCCACTGGTTGTTTCTCCTTAATTCTAGGTTGCTTCTCTCCTTGGTTTCCACCCGTTGCTTCTTGTCCTGCCTTCTGCTGCTTTGGAGAATAGCTTGACCCCCCTCTTCTTTGGGGCAACCCCTCAAATATTGGAAAACTGCTATCATGTCCACCCCCCCAGTCCTTTTCTCTAGACTGGCCATACCCAAATCCTGCAATCATTCTTCATATGTTTTAGTCTCCAGGCTTTTGGTCATCTTAGTTGCTCTTCTGCTGATCAACCAGCTTCTCCTTCTTCACAGCTCTGCCCAGACTGGGGTGTGGAAACGGATCCTGACAGCTGATCACCGACTTTAGATCTTGGAAGAAAATCTGTTTCTTCAACGCTCACCCTGCCAGGTTGGACAACACTCCACCAGGTTAACAACTGACATTCATTTGTGGGTTTCCGCCCAAGTATTCTACATTACAGATAGTCCCAACCAGGGGTAGGCAACCTTGGCTCTTCTATGACTCGTGGACTTTAACTCCCAGAATTCCTCAGACAGCCATGCTGAGGGAAAAGGGAGAGGTTACCAAGCTGAGCCATGCTGGCTCAAGGATTCTGGGAGTTGAAGTCCACAAGTCATGAAGGGGGCCATAGTTGCCCCCATGCTGGCTCAGGAATTCTGGGAGTTGAAGTCCACAAGTCATGAAGGGCCATAGTTGCCTCACACTGAGGAATTCTGGGAGTTGAAGTCCACAAGTCATGAAGGGGCCATAGTTGCCTCACACTGAAGAATTCTGGGAGTTGAAGTCCACAAGTCATGAAGGGGCCATAGTTGCCTCACACTGAAGAATTCTGGGAGTTGAAGTCCACAAGTCATGAAGGGGCCATAGTTGCCTCACACTGAGGAATTCTGGGAGTTGAAGTTCACGAGTCATGAGGGGGCCATAGTTCCCTCACGCTGGCTGACGAATTCTGGGAGTTGAAGTCCACGAGTCATGAGGGAACCATAGTTCCCCTATGCTGGCTGAGGAATTCTGGGAGTTGAAGTCCACAAGTCATAAAAGAGCCGAGGTTGCCTACCCCTCTATAATTCATTTAATGACCGTCAGCTGATACAAGTGACTTATGACCAGTTTTCACTTAACGACCATTGCATCCCCGTGGTCACGTGATCAGAATGTAGACACTTGGCAACGGGCTCGTATTTACGATGGTCGCAGCGTCCCGGGGGGGGCACGGGACCCCCTTTTGTGACCTTCTGACAAAGCACAGTCCAGGGGAAGCCCGATTCGCTTAAAGTCCGCGGGACTAGTCTGACCACTGCTGCGATTCACTTAACGACGGTGTCAAGGACAAGTCCTTAAATGGGGCGAAACTCATTTAACCATTGCCTCGCTTAGCGACGGACACGTGGGGCTCAACTGTGGTGGTGGTGAAGTCGAGCACTACCCAGGAAGCCAACAGCTACAAAACATCTGGAGATCAAAACAAGAAGACCGATGCAGAGAGGAAGCGTTTCCGTACCTGAATCCGTGCACCGTGGATCACGTTCTCTCCTCCAAGCCGCTTTTTTCCACGCGGTTCAATTTCCACTGGTTTCATTCTCTGGAATTATTTGGGGGAGGGTGGAATATAAGACACCCCCCTCAAGAAATCAGCGAAAACATCCCCCAGGTTCAGATCACGGCCAGCGAGGTCTTAGCCCACTCGGTCCACGGAGGGATCCTTCAAAAACCTGCGGGAAAGAGAACAGAAAGATCTGGGCTTGCTACACGTGCCAATGCTGCAGCGGCGCTCTGCGCGCAACGGGATGTGGCTGCAAGGACACGTCCCGCCGAGACTGTCGTGCGTCCGTGTGCGTGCCGAGACAGTTTGGAAGTCCGCTGGAAAAAAATGCCGTTGGGAAAATGCAGGAAGGAGAGACTTCTATTTGGATGAGAAAAACTGTTGCTAAGTGAGACAGTTGCTAAGTGAGTTTTGCCCCATTTTATGGACCTTTCTTGCCGAAGTTGTTAAGTGAATCACTGCAGTCATTACGTTATTTAACGCAGTTGTTAAGTGAATCCTGCTTCCCCATTAGAACAATTAACCAGTGGAACTTGTGGGTTCTCCAACACTGGAAGTTTGTAAGAAGAGAATGGGCAGCCATTTGTCTGAAATGGTATAGGGTTTCCTGTCTAGATGGACTAGATGACCTCCAAGGTCCCTTCCAACTCTGTCTATTCTGTTCTGTTCTGTTCTTTCTCTATTCTCTATTTCTCCTATTCTATTCTATTTCTTATTCTATTCTATTCTTTCTCTATTCTATTCTATTCCATTCTATTCTTTCTCTATTCTATTCCATTCTATTTCTTATTCTATTCTATTCCATTCTATTTTTTCACTATTCTTTCTTTATTCCTGTTCTATTCTATTCTATTCTATTCTATTCTATTCTATTCTATTCTATTCTATTCTATTCTATTCTATTCTACTCTACTGTATTCTTTCTCTATTCCATTCTATTCCATTGACTGCTCTTCAGGTTGCAAAAGGGGATCACATGACCCCAGGACACTGCGACCGTCCTAAATATGAGTCAGTTGCCAAGTGTCTGAATTTTGATCACATGACTGTGGGGACGTTGCAACGGTCGTTAAGTGCGAAAAACGGTCACAAGTCCCTCGTTTCAGTGCTGTTGTAACTTTGAACTCCGGTTTTAAGTTGAGGACTCACCTGTAATCAGCATTTGACAAGCGGGAGGGGGACCGAAAGTGGAAGAGAAGGAACAGGAGGAAACGAAACTAAAAAAATTAAAACAAAAATTAAATTTACAGAACCAAGGCCCAGCTGAACCGGAAGCCTAGCAGAGAAGCAGAAGCGAGGGAAGGGACGATGGGAGAAAGGGGGTCCCCACAACAACCGGGGTGCGCTCAGGGCACCGGCCTTACCCGCCAGGACACCTGGGCAGGGATCACAAGGTCCATGAGTCTCATCTGCAGGTCCCGGGGCTGCCCAGTATGAGCGGCCGTGGGAATCCAGCCTCCCCCATCTCTCTTCAATCCGGATCGAAGGTTCCCTCAGAGGATGGGAGGAAACAAACGTAAGTCTGAGTCGAAGGCAGAAACGGCCACAAACCGGGTCCGAACAGGAAGATGTAGCGGAACAGCAAAAAGAGGAAAGCGAGGAGACGGATCATGAGGTAGCCGCCCACGTGTGTGGTACGGCAAAGATACACACAAGCACACAAAAAGGATGTGGCCAACCGTCAAGATGGACGACAGGGTCTCGTTTTCGGTTATGCAACGGACAAATTAAGATTCGTGCCGTTCTCCTCGTGTAGGCCCGAAGCCATTACAGATCATCCTCCATTTAATAACCATTTAATGACCGTTCAAAGTTACAAGGACACAGAAAAAGTTGGCTTCTGATTGTCTGTCACACTTAACGACCTTGGCAACCAGCTCGTATTTACGACGGTCGCAGCATCCCGGGATTGTGTGACCCCCTTTTGGTGACCTTCTGACAAGCAAAGTCAAAGTCACTTAACGACTGGGTGACTTAACCACCGCAGTGATTCACTTAACAACAGTGGCAAGAAAGGTCGTAAAATGGGGCAGAATTCACTTAGCAACAGTCCCGTTAGCAACAGGAATTTTGGGCTGCAGGAGATCAGCCACTCGGCTTTCATAGGCTGCACACCTGCCTTTATTGCTCTCTTGAAAGCAGGCCCGACAGGTATTGATTGATTGATTGATTTTTATTCCACCTGATTCAGGTATAAGTAAGTGAAGGCAGCAAACTGTCTCCTGTTTCCCACAACAACCCTGTGAGGTGAAGTGGACTCAGACAGAGGGGGGGGGGAGAGAAGAGTTAGGCCAAAATCATCCACTCAATGCCTAAGAACTAGAACTCACCGTCTCCTGGTGGTCGGCCCAAAATCACCCAGCTGGCTTTCATGTGTAAGGCAGGACTAGAATTCACCATCTCCTGGTGATTGGCCCAAAGTCACCCAGTTGGCTTTCCTGCCTAAGACGGGACTAGAAGTCACTGTCTCCTAGTGTTTGGCCCAAAGGCACCCAGCTGGCTAAAGAGGGACTAGAATTCACTGTCTCCTAGTGACTGGTCAAAAAACCCAGGTTTTGTGCCTAAAACAAGACTAGAATTCACCATTTCCTGGTGACTGGCAGAAAATCACCCAGATAGTTTTCATGCCTAGTGCGGGACTAGAACTCACACCCTCCAGGTTTCTAAGCCAGCACCTTTACCACTACACCAAACTAGCTCTCAAACTTGCCAGGCCCCCTTCAGAAAAAGCCCAAGTGACCAGTTGCAGACATAGCAAGGGGGGATTATGCCCAAATGGAAAGCAGGTAGACCGACTTACTTCGAGCCCCTGATCCTCCTTCACACCTGCCACGTTCTCCTTGGGCTGGGGGGGCTGTCACATCCACGGCAAAACCTGCTGTCGTTGTTAAAGAATAAGAGAATAACAGAGTCGGTAGGGACCTTGGAGGACTTCTAGTCCAACCCCCTGCTCAGGCAGGAAAAAGGGAGGGGCGCCCTCAATCTGGCGGGGGCCAAATGCACCCTTCAAAGCAATAGTCCGCATGCCCATATTTGGACCCCCGATTCAAATTAGGGAAAGTGAAGACACCAAACCAGGATGAGCCACTCAACCCTTTCTTGATTTTGCATCAGCCAGGTTCTTTGTGCAACCAGGTTGTGTGAATGCAGCCAAGCTGATGGCTTTGGACATCTGCAAGGGGAGGAGAGAGATCCTGGCCCAGGCAAACGAGTGTGCACAGCCAGGCTGGACCAGGGGGGCTATCGCTCCATCGTCCTTCCCAGCCGTTCCTTGAACGGCTGGAAACTTTTTCGGATATCCTGTCCTTGAAAGGAAAAAAAAAGATGCATTGTGTGGGAAAGGACACCGAGGCTGATAACACCAGCTGCAAACACCCTCCTGCTTGCTCCCCTCCACCCACTCAGCACACGCAGACACAAAGACAGACACAAAAACACACATACACTCAACAAATACCTGTCTTTCTCTGGGGCTGCATTCCCACAACTCGGTCAACACTGGGTGAGAAAATTAAGCCATGTTCTGGCTTGGTTGTACACTGAGTTACCCCAATACACTCGACAAACTCCTGTCTTTCTTGGGGGCTGCATTCACACAACTCAGTCAACACTGGGGGGGGGGGGAAATTAAGCCATGTTCTGGCTCGGTTGTACTCTTGAGTTACCCCAATACACTCGACAAACTCCTGTCTTTCTCTGGGGCTGCATTCCCACAACTCGGTCAACACTGGGGAGAAAATTAAGCCATCTTCTGGCTTGGTTGTACTCTGAGTTACCCCAATACACTCTACAAACTCCTGTCTTTCTCAGGGGCTGCATTCACACAACTCAGTCAACACTGGGGACAAAATTAAGCCATGTTCTGGCTTGGTTGTACTATAAAATATCTTCTGGCAACTGACTTAGTTTTCTCCCAGCAGTCCCACAACTAAAACAAGGATAACACTAACTGAGTTTAGCACAGGGTGTGCTTGTATCCCCATCCCGACTTGAGGAGAACCCCAGCCATTTGAGATAGCTTGCCTTCCTGTATTTTAGCATATTTTAAGATTCCTGGGAAAAGATTCGATTTGTGGTCTCTCCAAATAGGGCAGGGGTAGGCAACCTTGGCTCTTTTATGACTCGTGGACTTCAACTCCCAGAATTCCTGAGCCAGCATAGGGGAACTATGGCCCCTTCGTGACTGGTGGACTTCAACTCCCAGAATTCCTCAGCCAGCATGGGGGAACTATGGCCCCTTCATGACTTGCGGACTTCAACTCCCAGAATTCCTCAGCCAGCATGGCTCAGCTTGGAAACTGCTCCCTTTCCCCTCAGTGTGGCTGGCTCAGGAATTCTGGGAGTTGAAGTCCACGAGTCATAAAAAGAGCCGAGGTTGCCTACCCCTGGTTTAGGGCAATCTGGAGATGCTCCAAAGCAGCCACAATCCCTGGGAAATGCTTTGCGCCGGGGAGCATGGGCATTGCAGTCCCGAGACCATGGCTTTCCCCACATTATGACAATGGGCACAGCTATAGTCCTTGACTTACGACCCCACAGGAGCCCCCGAACTTCATTGCGAAGCGAGACCTTCGTTAAGCGAGTGTTCTGCCCCATTTTACGACTTTTCTTGCTACCGTCGTTAAGCGAATCACTGCAGGGGGTTGTTATTGACATGGCTGTTAAGTGCACTGACTTTGCTTGTCAGAAGTTCGCAAAAGGGGATCTCGCCTGACCCCAGGACCCCGCGACCGTCATAAATATGAGTCGGTTGCCAAGCCTCCAAATTTTGATCCCGTGACCGTGAGGGGATGCTGCAATGGTCGTTAAGTGTGAAAAACGGTCGTAAGTGTGAAAACCGGTCACAAGTCCCTTTTTTTCAGTGCTCTTGTAACTTCCAAGGGTCATTAAACGCACGGTTGTTAGGTTGAGGACTTACCGGTGTGATGGTGTGTGTGTGTGTGTTTTAATTTCTAATTTTAGTTAGTACATTTTGAGGACTGCATCCTGCAGCGCCCGGTGGATGACTCAGCCCGATGCGCCAGCCAGCAAACCAAACCTTGTGCCAACCTGTGAAAAACTGGATTGTTATGTCTGGTTGCTAATGCCAAGCAAGACGAATTCCGGCCTGGCAAGAATTCTTTTGGGGAAATCGGGCGCCCCATTTTGCAGAGCCAGCAGCCTCTCTGCTCCCCCCCCCCATTAGTTACAGAATGATAGAGCTGGAAGGGACCTTGGAGGTCTTCTAGTCCAGCCCCCTGCTCAGGCAGGAGACCCTAAACCATTTCAGACAAGTGGCTGTCCAGTCTCTTCTTAAAAATCTCCAGGGATGGAGCGCCCACGATTTCTGCCTTGGATAATTAATAATGGGCCTTCTTGACTGGACCTGGTTATCACCAGCCAGCCAGATTAGCAGAGCCCCTGGTAAGTTCAGCCATTGTGTCTCGGCTGATAACAAACCATTCCTTTCCTTAAAGGCGGGGGGGGGAGGGAGAGAAAGAGTGGAAAAGAAGGCTACCATCTGATCTGGCCCTGCCAATATTTAATCAGGGTATTCCTTAAGCACCCCTCCTCTCTGCCACATTCTTGAACTGGGGGCTGGACTAGAAGACCTCCAAGGTCCCGTCCAGCTATGTTCTGTTCTGTTCTGTAATATTCTATTCTACCCTAGTTTCTATTCTATTTTCTGTAATATTCTATTCTCTTCTGTAATATTCTATTCTCTTCTGTAATATTCTATTCTATTCCATTCCATTCTCTATTCTATTCTATCCTATTCTAGTTTCTATTCTATTTTCTGTAATGTTCTATTCTATTTTTCTGTAATATTCTATTCTATTCTGTAATATTCTATTCTGTAATATTCTATTCTGTAATATTCTATTCTGTAATATTCTATTCCAGTGATTCTCAACCTTTTTAATGCCGTGACCCCCAACTGGTCGTAAGTCGAGGACTACTCAACCGGTCGTAAGTCAAGTACTACTCAACTGGTGCAGCACCGTTTGGAGAATGGGACTTTTGGTTGGTTCAGCAGGGCAGAGACAGCCTGGACAATTCCTATTGGCTTTTGAAAGCAAATAGAATTAGACTCTATTCAAGAGAGTCTATTCTATTGGCTTTCAAAAGCCAATAGAATAAAAAGGAGTAGCACAGCTAAGGAAAAGGGGGGAAAAAATGGCGGACTGCGTTGTTTGGCGACCCCCGTGAAATGGTCATTCGACCCCAAATGGGGTCCCGACCCACAGGTTGAGAACCACTGTTCTATTCTATTCCATTCCATTCCATTCCATTCCATTCCATTCTATCCTAGTTTCTATTCTATTTTCTGTAATGTTCTATTCTATTTTTCTGTAATATTCTATTCTATTCCATAATATTCTATTCCTTAATATTCTGTTCCGTTCCATTCTATTCCTACAACACCCTTAGCCCCAGCCACTGAATTAACCCAGGTTTACTCATTGTGTCCAAAGTTACTGTTGGCATTTTTGAACAACCACTAAATGAATGACTTAAGTAGTCCTAAAACTTACAGTCAGTCATTGAGCAATTGTTCAAAGTTCCAACAGCACCCGGGGGAAAAAGGGAGTTACGACCATTTTTTTCACACTTACGACCGTTGCAGCATTCCCCCATAGTCACCTGATCAAAATTCAGACACTCGTCAACCGCCTCGGATTTATGACGAGTCGCAGTGCCCCGGGGTAATGCACTCAAATCACCTTCAAGTCCACAGCAAAGTTGGATTCACTTAACAACCGTGTGACTGCCTTAACAACTGCAGTGATTCACATAACCGTGGGAAGGAAAGTCGTAAAATGGGGCAATCCTCACGCCACTGTCTTGCCCAGCAACAGAAACGTTGGGTTTAATTGACATGGTGGAGAACTTGGTAGTTTTTCAAGAAAAAATGGACTGCTATTTTTTTTTCAGTACATGGATATGGGGTTAGACTAGATGGCCCCCTAGATCAGTGGTTCTCAACCTTTTTAATACCGCGACCCCCAACCAGTCATAAGTCGAGGACTACTCAACCGGTCGTAAGTCGAGGACTACTCAACTGGTGCAGCACCGTTTGCAGAATGGGACTTTTGGCGGGCTCAGCAGGGCAGAGACAACCTGGACAATTCCTATTGGCTTTGGAAAGCCAATAGAATGAGACTCTATTCAAGAGAGTCTATTCTATTGGCTTTCAAAAACCAATAGAATAAAAGGGAGGAGCACAGCTAAGGAAAAGGGGGGAAAAAATGGCGGACTGCATTGTTTGGCGACCCCCGTGAAATGGTCGTTCGACCCCAAATGGGGTCTCGACCCACAGGTTGAGAACCACTGCTCTAGATTCCTTTCTACCCTATTCCTTTCTATTCTTGGGGACCAATTGTTCCCTGATGCTTCGGGCTTTTTTTCTTGCCACTTAAAAATAAACCAAAATATGATACAGAACAGATTGACACTGAAGCAGATACATCTCAATGAGACTTGCAGATTGGCTTGCTGACTTGAGCTCCCCATTTATTGTTCCAAAAGGAGATTGCCAGGAACTTTCCTTAAATAATAATAATTAATAATAATTAATAATAATAATAATAATAATAATAATAATAATAATAATAATAATAATAATAATAATAAAGTTGGAAGGAACCTTGGAGGTCATCTAGTCCAGCCCCCTGCCTCATCAGGAGAACCTATACCATCTCAGACAAGTAACTGTCCAGTCTCTTCTGAAAAACTTCCAGTGTTGGAGCATTCACCGCTTCTGGAGGCAGATTGTTTCACTGGTTAATTGTTCTCACTGTCAGGAAGTTTCTCCTTAGTTCAGTGCTTCTCAACCTTGACAATTTTAAGGCATGTGGACTTCAACTCCCAGAATTCCACAGCCAGCAATGCTGGCTGTGGAATTCTGGGAGTTGAAGTCCACATGCCTTAAAATTGTCAAGGTTGAGAAACACTGCCTTAATTGTACTGTATCTAAAAAATGTACATGGTAATCACAGCAAGTAATCTAATTCTGATATTATAAATTTTATTTGGGAAGGGGGGAATAGCCCAAATCCTATATAGTTTACAAAAAAAACACAAAAAAACCCCAACCACCACCTTCCAGATGCTGCTTCTGTGCTTTGCTAAGGAAAATCTCCTTTGTGACAATGAGGACCAACACCATGCTATTTTCATTTGGGAAAGCAGAACCAGGTTAAGTGGGTTGGTGTTCCCTGACCTGGCTTTTCTTGTTGCAGAATTACATCACACACCCCCTTCATCTCCCCCCCCCCAATTTCTTGCAATCCCCTTTGAGATAGATGGGAGTACAGAACTGTGAAATATAAATTAATCTAAATAATCTTCTTTCTCTTACTAACATCTGCTCCTGGAGAAGGGATCAACTGGGAGGGGGGGGGGGAAACCCAGGAAACTGCTGGGGGAATCAGGACAACTAATCCCACCCCCCCTTTTAACTAATCAACATTAAACTGCATCCTTTTAGCCTGTAATTTCTTGCAGGACCCCCGCGCTTTGCAACTCAACCCTATTCCGTTATGCAAAGCATCTCTTTTCTGGGCAACCCGTTTTTAATTTCGTTTTCCGAAGAGGCGGTGCGGTTGCAGCTACTGGAAATGTAACGCGCGCACACACACACACACACAGAGAGACAGGCACACAAACACAATTCCACCACTTTAAACCTCTTATTCAAAACTTCCCTTTTCTGCAAAACTGATATATTTTCTTTCGTTTCCAAACAAGGTGGCGCGGTTGCAATTCCTGGAAATGCCACACAAACACACACACACACACACACAAAGTCCACCAACACAGAAGCCAGGGACCCCAAATAAACTCGAGGAAGGGGGTCCATCCATCCAGGTTCCCAACAGACCGAGATGAAACGGGCCAAGGTTTTGCAACAAGGTTTCCTTCCACCGCGCGTCTCTTACCTGCTCGATGCCTCCGTCCCGACGTTCCGGGCGATCTTCCAGAGAAGCGGGCATCGACCCGGAGACACACACACACACCCGTCCAAGTCTGCACCTGGGGCTGCGTCCTCACCCGGCCCCAGCGCTAGAGCCCGCGATCCTAAGCTCTTTCCAGACACGCGAACAGTCGTCCCTTGCAAGAGTCACACGTCTGAGCGCTGAGCACCGGCCGGGAAGAGGCGCCCCCTGGCGGCCACGAGGCACCGCGAGGACGCTTCCGGGCAGAAAAGTTGCGCGGGTCTCGCAATTGCATCGGCTTGAGCAGGTCGAGCAAATCGCGAGGTTGAGCCTTTTGCAAGCGGGAGCCCGCGGGCGACGGGTGCAAATCTCCGTCCGGGAAAGAGCCGCCGTGGGTGGCGCCGCGAGGTTTAAGCCTTTGCAAGCGGGCGACCGCGGGCGACGGGTGCAAATCCGGCAAAGGGCAAAGAGACGCCGGGGTTGCGTACTTCGGGGCTGTGAGTTACGCCTGGTGCCCAGTCCTGCACGGGGAAGACAAAAAGCCGAGGCGGGACGAATAGAATAGAAATATAATAAATATTATAGAATATAATAGAATAATTATAGAACAGAAATAATAGAATATTAGAATAGAATAGAATAGAATAATTATAGAACAGAAATAATAGAATAAATATTAGAATAGAATAGAATAGAATAGAATAGAAGCTGGAAGGGACCTCAGAGGTCTTCTAGTCCAGCCCCCCGCTCAACCAATACACCCTATACCATTTCAGACAAGTGACGGACTCTAGTCTTTTCTTAAAAACCTCCACAGATGGAGCCTCCACGAATAAGCTGCAGGCTATACCGCACGCGAGGAAGCGGGAGGTTTAAAGGACCACTGCAGGCAGGCAGTCCAACCGGTCAAGCTTCCTTATGACACCAGCAAACCGGGCGCTGCGCGAAGCTGGCCAAGGCCCAGCAGGGGCTTCGCGCTGAAGGAACCGGCTGGGTTTTTGGTTTTTTAGACGGGGGAGGGAGGCCTTGCAAGCCGGACAGAAACACCCCCTCCTCCCCCCGACGAGGTAGCTTTGCAAGCCGCAACCGGCCCGGGAAGCAGATGGGGGGGGGAGGTGTTAACAACGGGGTCGCAACCCGCAGAGAGCGGCGTCTAGGCGGGCAGAGTTGCCAGCCTCCGTCCCCCGACGGTCGGGAAGAGAGGGCAGTTTGCACGGGTCTTACCTCCGGACTTGGTGGCTGCAAAGGGCGGCTCTCCGTTTCAGGCAGCGGGGCCGGCCGGTCTGTCGACGTCCAGGGTCGCCATGCGGAGCCCCGACGGCGTCACCGGGGGTCCCGCCCGGCTTGCACCCCGCGGGCGCGCTCCCCTTGCTCCTGCACGCCCCGCCGCTCGCCGCCCTCCTGCCCGGCCGAGTGGTACGCCGCCTGGCAGCCTGCCCAACGCGGCGCCCCCCACCGCCCCGACGGCGTGTCCCGGCCCTCGGGCTCGCCCTGCGGCTGGTGCTGAGCGCGGAGACCCACCTCCTGCTGGCCCACCGGCCGGGCCACCTGCGCCACGCTGCCCACCGACCCCAAGGCCGGGCCAGGCTGCCTTCCCGCCCGACGGGGCGGCGACTCCGCGCCGGCCGGCCGGGGCTGCTCCTCCTGGACCCCGCAGCGCTGCTCCCCTTGGCGACCCGCCTGTTCCTGCGCCCCCGCGCCCTCCCGCTCGCCGGCCCAGAGCACCCAGCCGCCGACGGCCCACGGCAGCCCGACGGCCCGCGCTCGACGGCGCCCCCGCCCGCCCGACGGCGCCTGGCTCTCCCCGTCCTCCTCGCCCCCCTGGGCGGGCCGCAGGGCCTCCTCCTGCACCCAGACGCCCCAGGCCTGCTCCTGGACGGCGCCCGCCAAGCCGCCCGCCTCCTGGACGCCGCGGCTCAGCCCCAGCGCCTCTTGGGCCCAGCGCGGCCGGATGGCTCAGCTCCGCCGACGGCTTGGCCGGCTCTGCTGCCTGCTGGAAAGCTCGACGGGGCGTCCCTTGAACTTGCCCCCCCCACTCCGGAGGCCTCGGCCTCCCCCGCCGGCCGGAGTCGCCTCGCCGGGGGGGGGGCTCCTGCCCGCTCTGGGAGGGGGAAAGCTCGACGGGGCGCCCCTTGGCCCCACGCCCCTCCTCGAAGCCTCTGTGACCCCCGCCTGCCGGAGGCGCTTCGCCGAGGGGGGCTCCTGCCCGCTCTGGGAGGGGGAAAGCTCGACGGGGCGCCCCTTGGCCCCACGCCCCCCCTCGAAACTTCTGCGACCCCCGCAAGCTGGAGTCGCCTCGCGGGGGGGGGGGCTCCTGCCCGCTCTGGGAGGGGGAAAGCTCGACGGGGCGCCCCTTGGCCCCACGCCCCTCCTCGAAGCCTCTGCGACCCCCGCCTGCCGGAGGCGCTTCGCGGGGGGGGCTCCGGCCCGCTCTGGGAGGGGGAAAGCTCGACGGGGCGCCCCTTGGCCCCACGCCCCCCTCGAAACCTCTGCGACCCCCGCCGGCTGGAGTTGCCTCGCGGGGGTGGGACCTTCCCGCTCTGGGAGGGGGAAAACTCGACGGGGCGCCCCTTGAACTTGCCCCCACGCCCCCTCCTCGAAGCCTCTGCGAACCCCGCCTGCCGGAGGCGCCTCGCGGGGGGGGCTCCTGCCCGCTCTGGGAGGGGGAAAGCTCGACGGGACGCCCCTTGGCCCCACGCCCCCCTCGAAACCTCTGCGACCCCCGCCGGCTGGAGTTGCCTCGCGGGGGTGGGACCTTCCCGCTCTGGGAGGGGGAAAACTCGACGGGGCGCCCCTTGAACTTGCCCCCACGCCCCCTCCTCGAAGCCTCTGCGAACCCCGCCTGCCGGAGGCGCTTCGCCGGGGGGGGAGCTCCTGCCCACGCGGATGCCGCAGGGGCGATGTGGATGGTCCTGGCGCGCCGTCGGTGGGGTCGTGGAAAGGGCAGGCGGCGGTGTCGTCCCTCCAAGCGGCCGGGGTGGGTGGGCTGGGGGTGGTCTCTGCTCTCCGGAGCCTCCCCCCCCCCGCCACGCGCGGAGGTTGCACCGCCCAGCAGCCCCTCCGGAGCCGGAGAGCGTCGGCGATGCTGGACGGAGGCTGCGGCCAAAACAAAAAGCGCCCCGCTCGTCACTTCTCCGCCCGGGTTATGTAAGCGGGCCGCGATGACGACGCAGCTCCGGGAGGCAGCCACGCGCGCCCCCGCGACGGGCCGCCGGGCAAGTTGCTCCCCCGAGCGAGAGCAGGACGAGGAGGATGCGCCGGGTCGAGTGGTCCAGCCGTTCCTGCATCCCTGCATCCTTCCGGGCGCAACTGGGAGGCGGAGCAGATGCCGGCTGGACTGGAGGCAGCCGAGGAGAGCCTGCGGGGGGGGGGAGAGGGGAGAGGGGGGAGGCTGTGGCGCAGTGGGGAGGGCTGCCAAAACTGCGCGGACACCTGCTTCCGGATGGGGGGGGGCGCACCGGTGGCGCTCTTGGGGGGGGAAGTGGGGGGGGTCTGCAACCTACTAGTGCCGGCTGAGCAGAAAAGTTTGGAGCTTGGGGAGGGTCTGCCCTGTCCCCGGGTTACGGCGGCGTCCTCGGGGATACGGCGACGGCTGCTGCTGCTGCTCGGGAAGGTCACCGCGCGCCCCTCCCTCTGCGCTCTTGCAAGCTGGCGCCCGCGAGCCTTCCAGACGAGTCGGCGGGACGAGATGCGGAATTGCCCGGCTGCTGCTTCGGAAACCGAAAGAAAAACTGGGATTTTGCGTAATGACGAATCGTTTTCGGGTATTAGGCAACCGGGGGAGGGGATGGTTATACAACCTGCCAGCCCAACGGCTAAATTACAAGAGGCCGGGATCATGCAACGTGCTAAATAAATTTTTTTAAAAAAAAAAAAATCGCTAAGCTGGGAATGCACGTATGAACTCGCGACCTGACCCGGGTTTGCAGGTCGTGTGAACGCAGCCCTTGCCGGTATGAGGAAGGTCGGTCTGGCTGCTGAATTTGGCAGAGCGTTTGGAGCCCAGACGTCTCTCGAGATGACGGCTGTAGCTGTTAGTCCCAGCGCCTCCCAGCGGGCGGCAGGATGGAAAAGAACAGACAGGGATAAAATAACAGAAATTGGACTTATGCAAGAAGAATCTCGTTCTGCTTTCTCAGACGACAGCTGCCTTTTTTTGGCCAACTTTGGGATAAATGCCAAAGACAGCAAACCCCGTGACTGTAGGGGCAGAAACGCCAGCTGCTTCTCGTTGCTCCTGCTGGCAAGGAGAAATTTGGTGATGGGAGAAGAGAAGGGAAGGGAAGGAAGGAAGGAAGGAAGGAATATTGGAGGAGGGAAGGAAGGAGGGAAAAGGAAGAATAAAAAGTAAAAAAGGGAAAGAAAAGGGAGAGAAAGAAAGATAAGAAAGGGAGAGAAAGCAAAGAAAGAAAGAGAAAGAAGGAAGGAAGGAAGGAAGGAAGGAAGGAAGGAAGGAAGGAAAACAAGATTTGAAATGGTCTGAGGCTCATGGTTCCTTCGATCTGCCTTCCTGAAGATCTGAAATGCATTATGATCCGGTCACTAGCCCAGTGTTCCTCAACCTTGCCAATTTGGGTGGATTTCAACTCCCAGAATTCTCCAGCGAGCATGGCTTTTGGCTGAGGAATTCTGGGAGTTGAAGTCCACAAGTCTTAAAAGTGGCCAAGATTGAAGACCCTTGTTTCTAGCTCCTTCCCAAGCAAACCAGGTCTGGATCTCACTAGATCACAGCATGGATGAGGATGAGGATAATGGGAACTAATCCATAACTTCTGGATGATGCTCAACAATTAACCAGTGGAACTCCTTGCCTCCAGAAGCGGTGAATGCTCCAACACTGGAAGTTTTTAAAGAAGAGACTGGACAGCCCTTTGTCTGAAATGGTATAGGGTTTCCGGCCTGAGCAGGGGGTTGGACTAGATGGCCTTCAAGGTCCCTTCCAACTTTTTTATTATTATTATCATCATCATCATCATCATCATCATCATCATCATCATTATTATTCATCATCATCATCATCATTATTATTATTATTTTCTACAGTATGTATTTATTATAACATCAGCCTCAACAACCGAGGCTTTTTGTCTTTCTAAAGCAGGCTGGGGGTGGGAAGGAATGGAATAATAAAATTCAGAAATAATTTGAGTAAAATTTTAAAAGAATGCAAGGGTCTCCTTTGTGGGAAAACTGCAAACAAGGGCAAAACAGCATTTTGTCTGGGGATTCCTATGTAAAACGGGGGTGGGGAGGTGGGGGGGCATGATTTTATGTCCTCAAGAACCCCCTCCAGCTCTAGGATCTGATGGTGCAATTCGGTCCCATCCTCTTTCGATATTTGAATATTTGTACTTATGAGGACTAGACTCTTGAGTCAGCATTCAAACCCACTGAACTAGCTGCTCCTAGCCAGCTTCCATCCAACTTGCTGCATGAAACTGTGCTTGGCCAGGTGGACTCCCCCAAGGCAGAGGTCTTCAAACTTGGCCCTTTGATGACTTGTGGACTTCAACTCCCAGAATTCCTCAGGCAGCGTGCACGCTGGCTGAGGAATTCTGGGAGTTGAAATCCACAAGTCATCAAAGGGCCAAGTTTGAAGGCCCCCGCCCCAAAGGGAACAAAATGCCCAGAAACATTTTGCAGATCCTCCGAAGCAACAGAAAGTTTCACTTTTTCCTCCGAAATAAATTTTTTCCCAATTTTATATTTTGATTTATTTATTTATAGTTCAACTTCCTCAAATGCCTGTCTCCCTCAAAAAAATAAAAATAAAAAAGGGACCCCAGGCCGGTGTGCAAATATCATATAACCGATAAGTAAAACAAGATAGAAAAAATAATGTTTAAAATTAAATTGACTTTATTTGCTCCATTCAGGCAAACGGGAAGAATTTTCAGCTGGCAAGTGAAACGCAAAGCTGGAATGGCTCACCCAGGGACGCAACCTGAGCCCTTAGTAACTGAACGCGATGCCGTTGCTCCAGAAACAGAGAGCAGAGTAGAGCTGCTAATTTTTAGCAACTGTACGTAATCAGAATAGAGCTGGAAGGGACCTTGGAGGTCTTCTAGTCCAACCCTCTGCTCAAGTTGATTGTCATGTCTAAGGCGGGACTAGAACTCGCCGTCTCCTGGTGATTGGCCCAAAGTCACCCAGCCGGCTTCCATATCTAAGGCGGGACTAGAATTCACCGTCCCCTGGTGATTGGCCCAACGTCACCCAGCTGGCTTTCAGGCCTAAGGTGGGACTAGAACTCGCTGTCTCCTGGTGATTGGTCCAAAGTCACCCAGCCGGCTTCCATATCTAAGGCGGGACTGGAATTCACCGTCCCCTGGTGATTGGCCCAAAGTCACCCAGCAGCTTCCATGCCTAAGACAGGACTAGAACTCACCGTCTCCTGGTGATTGGCCCAAAGTCACCCAGCCGGCTTTCAGGCCTAAGGCGGGACTAGAACTCACCGTCTCTTGGTTTCAGTCCTGGTGCCTTAGCCACTAGACAAAACTTAACGATCCCTTCCTGGACAATGTCCAATTTTGGCATTTAACTTTTCTGCCTGGCTTTATAAGCAAAGCCATATTTGGGGCGGGTGTGGATGATTCATCCTCTATTATTTATTTCAAGTTCTCAGTCTAGCCTATAGCCATGTCGTTCCCTGGTGGTCTCCCATCCTCACACTAACCAGCAATAATCCTACCCAACAATGAACAAAGCAGGTACATCTTTATGATAGGGCTAATCAGAGATGGTAATAAATACTCTGCACATGTTGAAAAGCGCCCCCCAAGTCTCTTTCATGGCTGCATTAAACACCAGGCCAATAAACAGGCACAGCTGTGCAAAACTTTTAAATAAATAAAATAGGGTGAATGGGTACAATTGCAGCTAAAAATCAGACTTCTATGCTGCAACCTATCCACTATCTCCATCATGGGAGGTTTTCAAGAACAGCCATTTGACCAAGATGGTTATAAGGTCTCCTGCCTTGAGCAGGGGGTTGGATTAGATGACCTCCAGAGTCCCTTCCAGCTCTATCATTCTATTCTATTATTCTATTCTAAACCAGGAAGGAAACTTTAAACAGGGGAGGCAATTTGGCTGCAGCGTAATAGCTTTGCACTATGAAAAGGTTGCAATCCACATTTCCAGGTGACCAACTGGGTTAATTTTTTTTTTCTTTCAAAAAGGTCCATTGTGCAATAAGCAGGGCGGTGATCCAAAGAGCTAGCCACCTACTCAGTGTTTATTTTTTTTCATTGCTTAAAGGAAGTACAGAACAGGACACTGCAGTTAAAAGGTGTTTTAAAGCAGGGCTTTTCAACTAGTGGTACGGGTACCCCCTGTGGTCCATTGGCACCTGGCAGGTGGTACGGGACCATCCTAGAAAAGGAGCAGCAGGGGAGGGGAATGAGCTGAATCGGGGGCAGCACCGCACAAGCCTGAGCGAGAGACGGCTGGAGCTGCAGGGCTGTCAGGGCTCAGCGGAAGCGCCAGGATCAGTGCCGCTTTCCAGCTGATGGGCGCTTCTTCGGGGCTGTCAGGGCTCAGCGGAAGTGCCAGGATCAGCGCCAGGCTCCAGCTAGAGCTCGGAGCTGATCCTGGTGCTTCTGCTGACCGCAGAAGCCCCAATCAGCTGGAAAGCAGCACTGATCCTGGTGCTCCCGCTGAGCGTAGAAGAAACGCCGATCAGCTGGAATGTTGCAGCCTCTCCAGGGTCTTGTGATTTACATTCAGATGCTTGGCAACTGATTCATATTTATGACGGTCACAGTGTCCCAGGGTCATGTGAAGGGGCCAAAACCTGCCGCAACTACCCAGCAGATGGGGGGGAATAAAAACCAAACACCCCCCACCCCATCTCCGCTGCCAATCCTCAACAGAAATGCTCACAACAATGAAAACCTCGGACAGGAGGAAGAGCACAGCCGGGCGGGCAGGCAGGTGTTTTGCTCGGCTGTGGCTTGGGGGGCACTTTTTTCAGTGCCATTGTAACTTCGAACAGTCACTAAGCGAACTGTTGTAAGTCGAGGACTACCTGTACTTCATCACTTTTTTCCTTTTTTGGGGGGGGGGGTCATCAAGTTTTTGACACCTTGCTAGGCAACTGGTGGTCCTCAGATGTTGCCATATCCTAAAAGGGGTACAATGGGTGAAAAGGTTGAAAAGCCCTGCTTTAAAGTATTGCAAGTTTAAAAACAGGGCCACAAAGAGACCTCTGGCGCCCTCTGCAGGCCAAAGTGGGTGCAAACAGTCATTCTGTTTGTATTCCGCCCCAAATTTGTTGCTAAGTGAAACGGTCCTTAAGTGAATTTTGCCCCGTGTTACGACCCTTTTTTCCCATAGCTGTTAAGTAAATCACTCCAGTAGTTAGGTTAGTAATGTGATTGTTAAATTTGGCTTCCCTATGGACTTTACTTTCTGGAAGATCCCAAAAGGGGATCACGTGATCCCGGGATACAGCGACCGTCATAAATAGGAACCGGTTGCCAAGCATCCATATGTTTATCGCAGGACAGAACAAAGGAGAAACTTCCTGACAGTGAGGACAATTAACCAGCGGAACAGCTTGTCACCAGAAATTGTGGGCGCTCCATCATTGGAGGTTTTTAAGAAGAGACTGGACAGTCACCTATCTGTGGCGGTATAGGTTCTCCTGTTTGAGCAGGGGGCTGGACTAGAAGACCTCCAAGGTCCCTTCCAGCTCTATTCTGACCTGACCTACCTTAGGCATGGAAGTGAACTGGGTGACTTTGGGCCAATCACCAGGAGACAGTGAGTTCTAGTCCCGCCTTAGGCATGAAAGTGGGCTGGGCGACTTTGGGCCAATCACCAGGAGACGTTGAGTTCTAGTCCCGCCTTAGGCATGAAAGCCGGTTGGGTGACTCTGGGCCAATCACCAGATGTTGAGTTCTAGTCCCGCCTTAGGCATGAAAGCCGGTTGGGTGACTTTGGGCCAATCACCAGGAGACGGGGAGTTCTAGTCCCACCTTAGGCATGAAAGCCGGTTGGGTGACTTTGGGCCAATCACCAGGAGACGGGGAGTTCTAGTCCCGCCTTAGGCATGAAAGGCGGCTGGGTGACTCTGGGCCAATCACCAGGAGACTGTGAGTTCTAGTCCCACCTTAGGGATGAAAGACGGCTGGGCGACTTTGGGCCAATCACCAGGAGATGGTAAGTTCTAGTCCCGCCTTTGGCATGAAAGCCGGCTGGGTGACTCTGGGCCAATCACCAGGAGACTGTGAGTTCTAGTCCCGCCTTAGGGA